AAATATTTATAAAGTTTTTCGGGTCCCCGTTGATTGCAACGCCCGATAATGTAATGAAATTACGCCTTAATAAAGTATGGTTACCAAATATTGTGAAATTGTTGGTCATATCTGGCAAAATAGAAAACAAAACAATTCAAAAAGCAATTTAGGTTAGAACGCATGATTTTTAATTTCTTTATAATGCGAAATTTCCGAATTTATTCAACAGGCGCCCAGTGCTGGACACGACAATGTGCTCAGCAATTTGGACTGCATCATGAGCGTAGTTGGTGTCGATGAGGATGTCATCTATTCAAAGTCCATGGCATTGCAGCTTTGGCTGCTTGGCTACGAGCTGACCGACACAATTTCAGTTTTTGCTTCAGACGCCATATACTTTCTGACTAGCAAAAAGAAAATTGAGTTCCTTAAGCAAGCACAAAATATCAGTGAAGATGGTGTACCGGAGATCAAGCTACTCGTGCGGGATCGTGTAAGTCTTGCATGTAAACCTTATACTATCTAGAATTCTTATCAAATTTTATCTCCATAGAACGACAAAGATCAGGCAAACTTTGAAAAGCTAATTACAGCAATGCAGAACTCGAAGAAGGGCAAACGTTTGGGTGTTTTCACTAAGGATGCTTTTCCTGGCGAATTCAGCGAATCTTGGAAAAAGTTTTTGACTGCTGCCAAGTTTGAGCATGTCGATATTAGTACTATAATTGCTTACTTAATGTGCCCCAAAGACGAGTCAGAGATCAACAATATACGTAAAGCATCGCTGGTTTCCATGGAAATATTCAACAAGTATCTTAAAGATGAAATAATGGACATCATCGATTCGGATAGGGTAGGCTGTACCTCAATCAAATTTCATCCAATTGCATATTTATATTTATTATTTGCAGAAAGTTAAGCACACAAAGCTGGCGGACGGCTGCGAGGCAGCTATAGCAGACAAAAAATACACAAGCGGCTTAGATCCACGACTGCTTGACATGGCGTATCCTCCAATTATTCAATCTGGTGGCGCTTATAGCCTAAAATTTTCAGCAGCTGCTGATAAAAATCATTTGCACTTTGGGGTGATTGTGTGCTCGCTGGGCGCGCGCTACAAATCCTATTGCTCCAATATTTCGCGTACGTTTTTGGTTAACCCCACGGAGGCGATGCAGGAGAACTACACGTTTCTGGTAAATGTACAAGAGGAGATACTCAAACTACTTATCCCCGACGCCAAGCTCTGTGAGGTATACGATAAGACACTTGCATATGTAAAAAAGGAAAAGCCGAGCATGGTAGAGAATCTAACCAAGAGCTTTGGATTTGCCATGGGTCTGGAATTCCGTGAGAACTCAATCGTCATTGGTCCTAAGTGTCAAGCGCTTATTAAAAAGAACATGGTCTTCAATCTGCACGTGGGCATTTCGAATTTATCCAATCCCGATGCCACTGATAAGGAAGGAAAAACCTATGCGTTGTTCATAGGTGACACTGTGCTGGTGGGAGATCAGGGTCCAGCCAGTGTAATGACCCCTTCCAAGAAAAAAATAAAAAACGTGGGTATTTTCATTAAGGATGATGACGACGAAGAGGAAGATACGGATGATAAGAAGGCCGCTAAGGCAGATCAAGGCACTGAAATATTAGGTCGCAGCAAGCGCAATGCTGTGCTCGAGTCCAAGCTGCGCAATGAGATCAACACCGAGGAGAAGCGCAAGGAACACCAACGTGAACTAGCTCAACAGCTCAACGAACGGGCACGGGAACGTTTGGCCAAGCAGGGCAATTCTAAGGAAGTGGAGAAAGTGCGCAAGAATACAGTATCTTACAAGTCCATGAGCCAAATACCTCGTGAACCAGAAGTTAAGGAGCTAAAATTGTATGTGGACAAAAAATATGAGACAGTCATTATGCCAGTGTTTGGCATTCAGGTGCCCTTTCACATATCCACAATTAAGAATATATCTCAGTCTGTGGAGGGTGAGTATACGTATCTGCGCATTAATTTTTTCCATCCTGGCGCCACAATGGGACGTAACGAAGGCGGACTCTATCCACAACCAGAGGCGACCTTTGTCAAGGAAGTGTAAGTAAAAAACGTACTCTCTCTGAGTATCAGTTAATTGTATATTGTATTCTCAATTGCAGCACCTATCGCAGCTCGAACGTGAAGGAACATGGAGAAGTAGCAGCTCCATCTGCCAATCTGAACAATGCGTTCCGTTTGATTAAGGAGGTGCAGAAACGTTTCAAAACTCGTGAGGCTGAGGAGCGTGAAAAAGAGGATTTGGTTAAACAAGATACGCTCATATTGTCACAAAACAAGGGTAATCCTAAGTTAAAGGATTTGTACATTCGACCCAATATTGTAACAAAACGTATGACGGGCAGCTTGGAGGCACATACTAATGGATTTCGCTACATCTCCGTGCGCGGCGATAAGGTGGACATTCTCTACAATAACATAAAGAGCGCCTTCTTTCAGCCTTGTGATGGTGAAATGATTATACTGCTTCATTTTCATTTGAAATATGCAATTATGTTTGGAAAAAAGAAACATGTGGATGTACAGTTCTATACTGAGGTTGGAGAAATTACCACAGATTTGGGCAAGCATCAGCATATGCACGATCGTGACGATTTAGCTGCCGAGCAAGCCGAACGTGAGCTCCGTCACAAGCTTAAAACGGCGTTCAAAAGCTTTTGCGAAAAGGTTGAGGCGATGACCAAGGCACAAGTCGAATTCGATACGCCGTTCCGTGAATTGGGTTTCCCTGGTGCGCCTTTCCGCAGCACTGTTACGCTGCAGCCAACATCTGGGTCGCTGGTCAATCTTACCGAATGGCCACCATTTGTAATCACTCTGGACGATGTGGAGCTGGTGCATTTTGAGCGCGTTCAGTTCCATTTACGTAACTTTGACATGATCTTTGTGTTCAAGGAGTACAACAAAAAGGTGGCAATGGTGAATGCAATACCTATGAATATGCTAGATCACGTCAAGGAATGGTTGAAGTGAGTGATGTCTAAATTTACCTCATAAGTCTTTTACCCAACCTATTGTGCTCATAGTTCTTGCGACATACGCTACTCGGAAGGCGTGCAATCGCTCAACTGGCAGAAGATTATGAAGACCATTACAGATGATCCTGAAGGATTTTTCGAACAAGGCGGGTGGACATTTCTGGATCCCGAATCAGGCAGCGAGGATGAAAACGAATCAGCTGAATCAGAAGAGGATGAAGCGTATAATCCAACAGATGCTGAATCGGACGATGAAACCGATGAAGATGATTCCGAGTACTCGGAAGCCTCAGAGGATGAAAGCGATGATAGTGATGGTATATTGAATAAATGACTTATCGAATTTCATTTATATATGCTTAACTTCCAGAGCTGGGCTCCGATGAAGAATCTGGTAAGGATTGGTCGGACTTGGAGCGTGAGGCCGCAGAAGAAGATCGCAACAATGATTACAACACCGACGATAAACGGAACGGAAAATTCGATACAAAGAAACATGGCAAAAGCTCGAAGCACAGGTAAGCTGAGCTCCAAGGATATCCACTATTCATATATATACTTTTTTTTTAAATCCTCTCTCTCTTCTCTAATTTGTTTAATTACTATACTTGTTCACGCAAAAACAGTCGTCGCGAGCGCGAGGAGCAGCGATCGTCGAACAGTAAAAAGCATAAGTCGAATTCCTCCTCCTCACATTTAAAATCCTCCAGCTCCAAACATGGCAGCTCATCTAGGTTTGTTAACGTATTCACACACGCACGCCAAACGAATTTACATACACATATTTTACACGCACAACATTTATAAAGCACTTTTCACTTTAATTATTCGATCCCACAAAGATCATACACAATTGGCTTCAAATTTAATTATTTTTGGAATTTATTTATGAAGTAATTCAGATTATTAATCGGGTTAGCATTGTTATAGCTTTAACTAACTAAAAGGGATTTCTGATAACTTTCTAAAAAGCAATTGGAGCTTATGCTTTAAATAGTGTATTTTGAAGTTAGATGTAGAGACTTATTACTTATACATGTATATGCTTAGATTAGAACTAAAAATTGGTAGAAAAAAACTTGAAAGTTTCTTTATCTTAGACAAAGATTGGTAAATCAACCATAAGATATAATAGTATGAAATGAGCAATTAGAGGCTGGCAATAACAATCAGCAAAACATATATTTAAATTAATTCATTTAATACAAATATAAGATTGTATAGAGACTTTTAATTTGGTGCTATTTAAGAATATGGAAAAGTATTACATATTAAAAATTCTATGCTTCTAAGGGTTTATTATATTACTGTTATTATTATATAATCCAAGTTCCTGTTAATAAAAAATTAATTGCTTTTGACTAATCAAAAGGAGTTTAAGAACTTTCTTTAAAGCGTCGTTCTTTGATTACGGACGAAATTTTATTTTTTAGGTAGATCGCGCAATTAAATGTTTTTTTTTTTTCTTCATAGAATATAAAATCTACTTCATAAACTATGCAAAATTCTGTTCAAAATTTTACCTAATGAAGACTGTTCAACTACCGAATACAATCGTTTTAATTTGTAAATAATATGATTACTCTCTTTTCAAAGCCCATCGAAATCGTCTAAGGATAAATATCATAATCGGGACAAGCATCATTCCTCCTCATCGTCGGGACATAAAAATAGCAGCAAGGATAAGGATCGCAAACGTTCACGTGAAGACAGTCGAGACAATGGCCACAAATCGAAGAAATCACGACGTTAACCATACACACAACCAGCGGTAGTTGAGATAGACACGAACTACCCACACATACAAATACACACTAGACACAAACACTCAAAACAGTCAAAACAAATACATCCATTTTGTAAATTTTTGGAGGCACACACACCTGCCACTCCCCACACAAAATTTTCCAATACAATCCGTTTTTTACACCTTACTGTATTTAAATGTTAACCTAACCTATTTTACCGCGAACTTTATACCTCTCTTCTGCGTCTATTGCATCATTTATAAAAATTGTAATACAAATTAAATAATTATAATACGTATATAGATTTGTCTATGTAGTTATCGTAGTGTTATTTGTTCCAGCTTCCCAAAAGATGACGATAAGCATGCACCTCATGGCTGTCACGTCTGCGACTCGAGCGCAACTCCTGCTCCGGCTCTCGTTTCGGGTGAGCATTTGGACTGGTCACAGCTGCTACAGTTCCTCGTCTGCGAGTTGCATCGAACATGTTTCGTGTCTTGTTGATGGGATAGCGCATTTTGTTCTTGAGCCATGTTGTGAAGGCGCGTTCATTATCTTGCATTTTCTTAAGCTCATGTTCGTTTCGATTCAGCGTCTGTTCTATGGCATTGCGTTGCTTGCGTCGCAGCTGTTGCTCACGTTGCTGCAGCTGCCTTGCACTCAGCCCATACTCGGACATATAGCCTGTGTAATGAGGTAACTTCTCTTTCTGCAGTGCATGACGGTGCTCACAACAGAGCTTATAGTTCATCTTAAGATCCGGCACGTTTGCAACTGTAGATGCTGCTATCGGTGTGGCTCTGGAGCGACGGCGAAAACTAAAGCGGCGGGCATTAAAGAATGTCTTGGTGTTGGTACTGGTGCTCAGGTTTTGCTCTGCGCCGTCTTCTTTTTTGTAATATACGCTGTGTTCGTCCAGCTCAAAATCTTCGGGTATATAACTGGCCACAATAACGGAGAGGTCATCCTCTTCTACATCCTCATTCACATTGTCGGTTCCAGTTAGACGACTAATCTGCTCCTGCCCTCGAACATCTAATGTTTTATACAAACTTTTGTATGCTTGTCGCAGCTTGATGCGCGCCTCGTTCACAACGCGCTCATCTTCCTCGCAATCGGACTCAGTTAGCAAATTGGTTAAACTCCTCTGGTCCGACTCCTCTTCCATATGCTCATTATTCAAATCGAATGTGTTCTGACGTGTTACACGGAGTTTTTGTGTGTCTCTGGCAAGAGTCTCTGTAGCAGCCGTCAGATCATCCTCATCCACGTCAGAGAAGTCATCGTCCCCGTAGTCCATGCTGGCAGGCAGAGCGGCTGGTGCAGATTGTTTGCTTTGACTGTTGCTGTTTTCTACTTCTGTAAGATCTAAAATTTCCTCGCATATTTCCTCCTCCAAATCTGGCTTTGCTGCATTCTGCTCCATATCCATCTTCGTTAGTTCATTTGTAGGCTCCTCCTCGATCGGTGCAAATCGCTCGCGTTCGGTTTGAAGCTTCAGCTCCGCCAACTTCTGCAACATCTCAGAGGACGGACTATACTGTCCTTCCTGGGTTGACTGCTGATGTACGGGCTCGTAATTTTCTAGATTGAGTGCAAAGGTTACCTTACGGTTGGTGGCAATGCTGCCACTTAGCTGACCGATACTATCATCATCTTCGTACAGCGCAAACAGCTGTTTATTGGCCTCCTTAATCTTGTCTACAATGTTATACTCGTTCACAGGCTTCAGGACTGCATAATAATCCAACATAAGCGGCATATTAGTACTCAACTCAACTCTGTTTTGCGAGTTAAGTCGACTCCTTTGCTACTTACAGTAAACTTCGCAATCGTCATCCGACTCTGCCTCCGGATCATACATCTCTGGCTGAATTCGATACGAATTTTCGCAACTCGATTGCGTGGATTATTATTTTTAGATTAGATTTATGTGCTTAAGACGGTAAAATTTTCCATTTCGTGCTATTGAACGCTCAGAGCACGAGACAAGAACCCATTAATGCAGAAAAGGGCCTATCATATACCAGATACCCTGCCTACACCTTCTGCTGAGGATATGTTTATGAATATCATATGATTGCTGTTGCCAAGCCCCGACTAGACCAGCTTATCGTGCCGGCGACTAGCGCTGTTTGGTCGATGCCTGGTGACAACTTGTCTTGGTGGAGGCCTAGGTATACTCAACTGGCTAATACCCTAGAACATTCCACTTAATGTCACTTGCTGAATAAAACTTAGAATTGCATTTATGCTTGTTCTGGACCAAGTTGAACAATATGAAATAATCAATCTTTAAGACTTACCGAATCATATTGAGATACCAGATGTTAGATTGACTCCGCAAATATTTTTACTGGTGAAAGGGCACTCAGTATTTTAATATACCATTCACGCATACTTCAAAATAAAGGACAAGGTATCATAATAATAGATTCGTTTGACTGGTAATTTCATGCACTTTATTTCATTGGGGTTTACTCAGTCAACCACATTTAAAGCTTAATAGTTAATCATTAAAGTCAAATTCAAAGTCGAGCAACGTTTAATACAAAACATAAACTACAAAAATGCACCTGACTTATCTGATTTTCTTGCAGTATATTATTGAGCAACACATACGAGACAATGTATTTAATGCTTATCTTACTAATCAAGAAGTTTTCAAATGCTAACTAAATAAATTGAGAAACTTTTGCTAAGCACAAAGTTCTGTCAAGTCTATAAATTATAGCAAATTTTGTACGTATTTGAAATATGAAATATGAAAAAAAAACCAGGAATGAAAATAATACATAAATTTCTAAACAAAAAATAAAACAAATTAGAAACTTAAAAAAAATTAAAATATATTTCAATATGCATTATAATTAAAACCCAACAATATGTGAAAAAAAAAATAAAGCAAATTTTATTACATTGTTAGTAAACGTAAAAATTCCGTATATAATTACAAAAAATAATAATTTACATTATAATTGTGCTTTAATTTTTGTTTATATATGAAAATTTTCAGTTTTTTAAATTAATGTGTTTTTTTTTTACAACCGCATTTATCATACTTAAAAAATTATAGCATTAAAAACTAAACGTCGAAATGTAATAAGAAATTCATAAAAAACTTTTGTCTCACTATTATGTGATGAGTGTGTGAATTTATGCCAGTAAATTATGTGTATAATTTCATTAAAGGACGGGTAGAATTGTTTTAGGTTCGAAGATTGACGCATTTTATAGCTTATAAAACGCATATATTGCTGCTCACTTACATTACTAATAAATTTCTTTTGGTTTAAAGGTTTCTTTTTTTTAGAATTCTCAAGACAGTTGTTTGTTAAATAATTATCATTAGCAATGCACTGTACTCTCTGAATGATTATACAAACTAAGTTGCATCCTATATATATATATTAATTAAAATAATATATAGATTCGTGTTTGAAAAATCATAAACCTTTTGTTAGCTTCTCTGCGCAGGGAGCGAAGCTACGATTTAGTTTGCAATTTTTTTTTTCTTGTGCAATTAAATTTTAGTAAATTACAGCTTACATAATTTTTTAACACTAAGTCGGGCTCAACATACAAAGTCTTTCGTTTTTGATGTCATTTTAAATAAATTAAATTCTAATGTGTCTGTGTGTAATAGTGTTTATACGTATCTTTTACACTTTGAGGGTATACCAAACATTTTTCTTTCGAGTATAACAAAAAATTTTTTAATACATACATACATGAAGGATAGAATTCGATTTTTTGGGGTTTTTGTTTTTTTTTTAGGTTTGAGTTTATCTATTGTAAGTTGTTGAGAACATACAAATATATAACGTATTTAGTTAATTACACACTTATATATATATATATATATATATATATATATATATATATATATATATATATATATATATATATATATGTGTGTGTGTGTGTGTAGAATGCTGTCCGGGAGGCTTCTCTGCTGATTCAAATTGGATCAACCAATGCAATATAAATTTATTTATTACACTCTGTTAAGAATCTGACTTTATGTAAACAGGGGCAAGTGATAAAAATCAAACCCTCGATATCCCTTAGCCGCCAGCCAAATGTAGACAACATGATATGCGCCTGGTATAAAACAAATGAGTCCAGCAACAAAAAAGACAACACCCTGTGATGTATTGTGTGGATCAGCGATGGCAAAGGTTCCCATTACAAATAACCCAGTGCCCACGACGAGCAACGTAAAGGCAGCTAGGACAGTGCGCCAATTTTCGCGTACCTTTGGATGCCGCCAGCAGTATGTATTCGTTTCCTCTGTGGGCAGATTGCCATATTCCTGTATTAGGGAATCACTGTCACGCGACGTTGTGTCCTCGGCATACTTGTAGCCCCTGAAAATTGAGAGCCGAAGAAAATAAGTATAAGTATAAGTAGTTGTGTACAACAGAATCTCGTTTGATTGGACATATCTGGTTCCTAGTCATTTTCTGCATTTTGTCATATTTTGCCCACTTTCCCATAATAAATGATACTGATGATATGATAAATAAAATTTCGTGACCAAGAGGACAACACTACTCGAAATCATTCGTAATCATATTTCTCCCGGACAACCGTTCATCATTCAATTGTAGGTTGCACTATACTGATAATAAAATTGTGCATATGTATATATGTATGTTCACATTAATGTACTCAACAGCAATGAAGTCGAACAAGTGCAGCCCGTTGCTTCGACCGCAACCGAAGGCCAGTCTCAAATCTTGGTGTTGGATGTCGTGCAAAAAAAATTAAATAATGCAAAATAATAAATCAAAAAAATTAATAATTTTTTTACAATTGAAAAAATTATCATCAATATAGTCTGCCATAATCTCCATAATTATGTACTGTTTTAGCTACTTGAGTTGTGCCTTGAGACGCGACATGCATGCATAATGGACCACCAATGCAATAGTGGCTACAGAAGAGCAGCAACAAATTGTAAATATTATTTATATGAATCAAGCACGCACGCGCCTATTTCAGCGTACCTACACACACACATGTAACTGCAAATTTTATGGAAAGCTACGAGAGCTTCCGGCAAGAAGCGGAAAGTAAAATGAGCCATTCTCAAAAGGTAACGTTAGAAGTTTTGTAGTTGGTTTGGCAAACAGCTGCTTTAAAACTTAAAATTACTGTATATAATTTTTATGATTGCCTAGTAAAATAAAGCCGAGCTTTAAAGTGATTCTTAGTCAGCAATAATACAATTTTCAGTAGCAACTGCTTGCGAGGTGGTTGAAACAGTGTCAAAAATAAACTGAGAAAAACTACATAGAAAATTGTTGGGCTTATATAGAAGGATTTGTATACATATAATATACAGTCAACAGAACTGCTACTGTACTGCCCAATAAAAAGTTTTGAAATTTTAAATTGTCCAAATATGTATATACACGATGCAAGATTACTTTTTGTAAAGGGTGTCTGGCACGACTCCATGGGCAAATGATGTCAACAACTGTCAAGCAACTGCTACCCACTCGAAGACTCAAAACAAAAATCAGTACCATTATTACCAGTTGCAGCGGTGAGGGGAACTCGTTTCGAACTTACTTTGGATCCTGTATGCGTATGGATACATCTTCGGTAGAGCGACCTTGTTTGGCACTGCCACTAACGCCGCCGCGCATTGGCGTAGATATCACTGTGGAGCCATAAACACGTATCGCCTCCTCTTCCTCTTCCTCGAACGCGTCATGTATGGAGAAGCCCCGAGCACCGTTGTTGTACATACTGTTTCTTCTTGCTGCTGTTGTTTTCTTTAATCTTTGTTGTTATTGTAAATAAATATAAATAGGCCTTCGATTTGTTCACAATAACTGAAGACTCGAAGAACGAGCGCTTATTGCTGCGTCGCCAGCATTTTTCGGCACAGTGATACGCGTGTTTTTAACCTTTATTATTTTTGGTTACTTCGTAATGATTTTCAGTGTTTTTCTTAATATTTTCGAGACACAAAAGATAGTGTTTAGGGAGGAGAAGAGTGGGTAGTCTAGTGATGCGCAAAACAGGGAATAACAGAAGTATCGCTAAAAATATCGGTCACGTAATCGCTGGCAGCGCAACTTTGAGCCGATGCTGTTACTCTAGTCCAATCCAACCGTCAAAAATATACATAGAAATAGTATTCATATTTTATAAATCTTTCCTTAAAAATATAAGCCATTCACAGTGAAAGTATAAGTAACAATTTCTTTACTATTCCTAGATATCCTGCTATAGCATATAAACTTGTGCTGCCAGATAGTTTACTAAAAAAAAAATATGGTAGCCCCATTACATTAGCCAGTGCTTTCAGTCGCCTGCAATTCAACGAAATTCTATTTTACTTATTCAATAATTGTGAAATTTAACTGAATTTTTAAAACAATAAACTTCAAGATGTCACGACACAGAATTGTGCGCGGAATGGACTACAACGACGAGTACGATGGTTACGATGACGTCTATGGCCATTCTGTTGACGACGATTGCGTTTCGCCCACGGATCAGCAATGGCTTTTTGACCGGACTCGTGGACAACACAGTATGTCAGCGTTTATAAAGAAGAATAAGAATATTCAGGAGGAAGCAGAGGATGACGAAGATTACGACGAGGAGGATGAGGAATATCAAAAGGCTCGCAGAGATTCGGAAAATTTTCAAATGCCGGAACTGGATGATACAGCGCAGGCGAAGCTCAGTTCTTGTGTGGATGAAGTGAGAAGTGTGGTGGGGGATGCAGTCTCTGAGCGCCGCATTGTTGAGACTTCTATGCGTTTCGACTACGACATACACAAAATACTCGATGAAATACTAAACGAGGAGACAAACAATAAAGACAAGGGCAAGCGTCCGCCAATGTTGAAACTAAATACGACGCCAGCTGCAAAGACTATAACAGCGCCTAAGCCTACGCCCACGAAGATCACTCTCTCCACAGTGAAGGAGGCCAGACGTGGTTTTGACATCGCCTCACCCAAAGCGCCAGCGTCACCAAATGTGTCTGGTCGGAATACGCCTACCGAAGGAGGTGACGAGGCAGGACGTTGTACTAATGTCATATTCAAAGTTTCGAAGGATCAGGCACAGCGTAATACCCAGCAGTTGTACGATCAGGAGCGCTCCTCGCAAAAGAGTCAAATACACATGATTGTTATTGGACACGTTGACGCAGGCAAAAGCACTCTGATGGGCCACTTGCTTTATGACACGGGAAATGTTTCACAGCGATTAATGCACAAACACGAACAGGAGTCAAAGAAACTGGGTAAGCAGAGCTTCATGTACGCCTGGGTGCTAGATGAAACAGGCGAAGAGCGTGCCCGTGGCATTACTATGGATGTTGGCCAGTCACGCATAGAGACAAAAACAAAAATTGTGACGCTGCTCGATGCGCCTGGGCACAAAGATTTTATACCCAACATGATATCAGGAGCAACGCAAGCGGATGTGGCGCTACTTGTCGTTGACGCGACACGTGGTGAATTTGAATCTGGATTTGAATTGGGTGGGCAGACCCGGGAACATGCTATACTTGTTCGCTCGCTGGGTGTTAATCAGTTGGGTGTGGTAATCAATAAGTTAGATACAGTGGGCTGGTCCAAGGAGCGTTTTCTAGAGATCGTTCATAAACTGAAATCATTTCTAAAGCAGGCTGGATTCAAGGAATCTGATGTCAGTTTTACGCCTTGTTCCGGTTTAACGGGTGAAAATCTCACAAAAAGTGCTCAAGAGCCAGGTCTAAAAGCCTGGTACGACGGACCGCATCTTCTGGATGTTATTGAACACTTTAAGGTACCCGAACGCGCGGTTAACCGGCCATTTAGGATGTCCGTAACGGATATCTATAAGGGTACAGGATCTGGATTTTGTATTTCGGGTCGCATTGAGACGGGTGCACTCTGTGTCAACGATAAGGTGCTCGTCGGTGCTAGCCGAGAACAGGCACAGGTCAAATCCCTGAGCATTGATGACCTAACTCAGACCAGTGCATTTGCCGGCGATCAGATCTCCGTAACACTAGGCGGCGTTGATATGAACAACATTACTGTGGGCTGTATTATATATGACCCACAAGTGCCAATCCCTATCACCACCCGATTTCAATGTCGTATAATCGTATTCAATGTAAAAGTGCCAATTACAATAGGGTATCCGGTACTGCTCCATCACCAGTCACTGATCGAGCCAGCTGTTGTCTGCAAGCTGACTGCATCCATTCACAAAAGTACCGGCGAGGTGGTGAAGAAGAAGCCTCGTTGTCTCGGACAGAATTCGTGTGCTCTGGTCGAATTGGAGACCTCGCGTGCTATTTGTATTGAAAGATATTCCGATTATAAAGAACTTGGGCGCGTTATGTTGCGCGTTGCAGGCGTCACAATAGCCGCCGGAATGGTCACTAAAATTCGCTGAGTGCTTACTATCTACGAATACGAAATTTTAGTTAATCTTATTATTTGTTGTAAATAAATAAAAGCTAAGTTTATAAAACCCCACTAGCTGGTATAACTATTATTTTATTTTACAATCTTGCGAAACTTATTGAATGCCTTAATTGGGTAAAATAAGCAAAATTTTCTTTTAATCTTAATGTTGATATCATCAAATCAAGTATTAGGCAAAAAATTCGTTTAATGTTGCCATTTCTAGTTAAATTTATCGGTCAGTGCTGCCACTCGTCCAGTGTGTCGCGACGAATGGCAACGTTGAAAATGAATCACTTTCGAGCGTGCGAGCGAGCAAGCAAGCAGAAGCGCGTAAGCCGAAAAAGAGTTATCTGTTTACCTTATAATTAAATATTGTTATCAATAAAAAAATTGCATATTTCCCGAGCAGTAGCAAAGTATTTTGCACGCGCATACATATATCGGAATAATAAATCGGAAATCGCGTGAAATCTGCTTAGACAGCAACACAGAGCTTCTTTGTGCGCAGCGCTAACGAGGTAAAACTCCGAGTAGAGTTACCGTATGCCTGACATGCGGGTGATTGCTGTTGCCTCCCCTGCTACATTAAATAAGTTTGTGTGTGTTCCAATAAAATAATTTATGAAGCACGTTCTACGTGCAATTGTCAGTATTGTGCTATAGCTATTAAAAGTATTTTTTTATTGAACAAAAACGAAAATTGACTTGCATGCTACAAGTGTGCGAATTGCTAGGCGCTTAACATCTCCATCATAGCCGCTTGACAACTCTGAAAATGAATCATTAAAATGTTGAGGGTAGAGCGCAATTTCGCTGAGTGAGCGAGGAGAACATTTCGAGTTCATTATAATAAAAGAAATGAAACGAAACGAATGAAGTGTGCAGTACATTCCGAAAAGCAAACACTAACATACCATATACTAAAAAAAAAACGATTTTATACTGCAACCTATTTTAAAATACAACTATTGCTTTCTTACATTCCACAGTGCATACAAACAAATACATACACACACACTGAGTACTCTGCAAACATTGTTGCACAGCAACAGCAACGCCAACCGCAGATAGCAGCAGAAATTTCTGTAGTAAAACGGAAGTTGTTGTCGTAGTCAGCTTCGCGGAAGAAGCACGAATAGAGGCTAGTGCTAACGTAATTTTTCTCCAAAGCAACAATTTGACGACATTAAAAAAAGAAACGCACCTTTGCTACCTGAGCAAAGTTAACGCAAGCGAAAGAGCGCGAGAGGAAGAGAGAGAGATAACTCTCATACAGCTAGAGTTCTTCGATGGCACAAAGGTTATCAGCAATAACAAAGAATAGTAACAGTAGCAACAACAATAAAAACAACTGCTTTCAGCAATAACTGCACCTGCAACTCAAAAGCAATCGCCGAACAACGCCTAAAAAACAAGTTATATAGATATATATGTTATTCAGAGAGAGGGAGACAAAACGATACACATAAGCAACAATAATAATAATAACAGCCGCCGCAACAACTGAACCGAACCACCTCGTAACCCGCCTACGCCAGAAAGTAACAGCGCCTAGTTTAAAGTAAACCCCTAACATATATATATATATATATATGTTATATATATATATATATATATATATATATATATAGTAATATATAATTATAATATATAATATATATAATTATATTATATATATATATATATTAATAGTAGTTTAAAAACACAAAAACACAATGCGTGAATATAAAATTGTTGTGTTGGGCAGCGGCGGCGTTGGAAAGTCCGCATTAACCGTACAATTTGTGCAATGCATTTTTGTTGAAAAATATGATCCCACAATTGAGGACAGTTATCGCAAGCAAGTGGAAGTAGATGGCCAGCAATGTATGCTAGAAATTTTAGATACCGCAGGCACGGAACAGTTTACAGCCATGCGAGATCTTTATATGAAGAATGGACAAGGCTTTGTACTAGTCTATTCAATAACGGCACAATCAACGTTTAATGATCTACAGGATCTACGAGAGCAAATTCTACGCGTAAAGGATACCGATGATGTACCGATGGTTTTGGTGGGCAATAAATGCGATCTTGAGGAAGAACGTGTCGTGGGCAAGGATTTGGGCAAAAGTTTGGCAAATCAATTCAATTGCGCGTTTATGGAGACGTCAGCCAAAGCCAAAGTAAATGTGAATGATATTTTCTACGATTTGGTCCGGCAGATAAATAAGAAGTCTCCCGAAAAGAAACAAAAGAAACCGAAAAAGTCCCTATGTGTTCTGCTATAAGACTTCAAAAAAAAAATAAATAAATAAAATAAATAAATAAAAATAACAAAAAACAATAAAGCAAAATGAGTAACAAGTAACAAGTAAATATTTAAACAACATACAATCCCCCCCCAAAAAAAAAAAAAAAAAAAAAAATTGTCAAAATTTCAATAACCAAGATATACAAAATATAAGTAAAAGCAGATTGAACTGACAATGTTTTTAACTGTGCAAAGATTTTTGTAATTATTACTACATTCTACTATTACTTCTACTATTATAACTATATATTATATTTTGCTGATTAACAAATATAAATAGAAACATATGTAATTCGTTTTGAGACGATTTTCTTTTAACCAAACAAATAAAAAAAATTAAGGGAAAAGCATTCGTAACTAAAAACATTCGCATATATTTTTTTGTTATTTTGAATCCTTATATTGATTTAAAACACAAATAAAGCTACAATAAATATATATGTATACAACAACAACTTATCTTTATACATAGAAACACATAATATCGTTGCTCTTAACAAAAAATAAATAAAATAATAATAAAGCAAATTTAAATGAAAATCAAATTTAAGCTAAAATCTCTAAATTTAAATTCGATTGTATGCCTAACAAAAAAATCACATATTTTTTAAAAATATTGTATGCAAAATGATGTCAAAATGTTGCAAACAAAACAGAAAATCCATTTTTAGTAATTAGTTTAATGCAAATTTACAAATAATTGTTTAAAAATGATCAATTCCTGTGTAAGTAAAATCTAAAGAAATAAAAATTAAAAAAAAAAATCACACATTCATGACAAACATTTATAAATATCCAATAATCCAAAAGCTATATATATATATATATATATATATATATATATATATATCGATAATGCAAAACTTACATTTCTGATTGCAATTTCAAGATAAAAAAAAAAACATTTAAATCCTGTTATAATTAATCCAACCCAATCACATGAGCTATAATAAAAATATAAATCCCAAAACGAACTAAATATATGAAAATAAAATAACGAAAAGAAGCAAAATGATACAAATAATTAATATGCCCTAACATTAAATTAAAAAGAAAAACAACTAAGATACCGTACACACACATAAGAAAATCCAACGTGTATCCACAATAAATATATTACGTAAAAACAAAAACAAAAATTAATAAAAAAAAAAAATAAAATATATATATATATATATATATATATATATAAGTAAAACAAAAATTAAATAAATTCATGTAAGAAATATAAAATGCGTTTTTTATAACACATTCGAGTCATTATTTTTGTTTTTCAATTCTCAAATAATGGTTCCTGTATTTTATTCTTGGAATATTAATATAATTTGTTATAATACAAGTACAATTACAAATTACAATCAAATAGTTCAAATTTTGCATAACCATCAAAATATCTATGGATATACATATATAGTGGGGTTATACAGAGTAATATCATTAATTTGATATGGACATTGATTACCGCTGAAATTTATATATTTTTAATTTAATTTTGTATTATTATTCTCTTTTTTTCTTTAATACAACAATAGAAGCCAACTAGCAAGTATTTAATGATTATATAATAACTTTTGTTGTTAAAATTTTGAGATTTTTGGTATAGTATAGCACAAATGCATATTTTTCAACTGTACATAAAATGTGTTTTTTTTTTATGACTAGTTTTTTTCATATTTCATCAAGGGCTCTAATTGTACATGTCTTTGTTATATATATATATATATATATATATATATATATATATATATATATATATATATATATATATATATATATATGTTTTTTTTTTAAGTCTTTTTGCGCTGCTTAAAAATTCTTTTATTAACCCATTAAGAATCAGTCCAGCTATCCACAAGCTCTTGGTTAAAGAACTATCACCTAAAAAATTACGAATAAAACTTAATTTATGCTAATTTGGCAACAACGAAAATTGGCAAATCAATAATAATATATAAAGTATTTAATATGTAATAGTCGAAAAACAAATTATTGCACTGGGGATTTGTGTTTTGAAAATTGCACTTTAGGTTATTACACGAAATTTAAAACTAGAATTATATATATTAAATATATGTAACGACGAGACGCAGCGAGATTTTAGATTTCGTTAGATTCTGGCATGAAGATTACTACGTAAGATGTGTTCAGAATAAGATTTACCTTATGTCTGTTGTAAAGATCTTGCACGTATGGTACAATTGAAATAATATAATACGATATACTATATATGTAAGATAACAATCAATGGAGCCCTAGAGATCTCTATTTTTATATCTTTAGCTCTATTTACGCAACTGTAATTGACCCTGGGGTTGAACCTGGCTCTGTTGCTGCTGGTGTGACTGTTGCTGCTGTTGTTGAGACTGCTGTTGTTGTTGTTGATTATGATCCTCATCGTCGCTATGCTCCTCACGCAGCGGCAACGAATCGATTTGCTTGGCAGTTGTTACTTTTTTATTGCGCTGCCAGGTGAAAACACGCGCCATTTGTAGAAACTTTTTACGGGACATTTTTCCCATGTTCTTGAGTCGCTCCTGGAAGGGCGCATCATCTTCGCCCTTAGCCTTGCCGCTCTGTTCCTTCTCCAGTGCACTCATAAAGTCCTGATTCCATCGCAGCTGGTTCATAAACTCCTCATTCTGTAGCATCAGGGCGAACTGTTCATCGGGCAACTCGAAATCTTGCTGACCGCCAGAGGGCGCCACGCGCAGAAATCCAGGTGGCAGGACACCTAATATAGGGGGACTCCAATTCCTGCTATTGTTGGACAATCCGACGGTGTGACTGATGTTGCGCTTGGTGAGCGTATTAATAGCGTTGCTGCCAGTACCCTTAGTTGAATTTCCGAACGGACGTTGTTTGGGCGAAGCGCCCGTATTGTGATGATTCGGCGAAGCTGTTGTTGTGCTCAGTAATTGCGCAGCACTTGAGGTAACGGCTGGAACTGTGTTTTCTGGGCCTCCATCTGTAGCGTCGATGATTATTTGCTGCTGATGATTGCGTCGCAGCTCTCTGTCCGTGTCGCTAAGATTGATGAGACTCTGTTGTGGTGAGACATTAGCATCCAGTTCATTGCGCAGTTTTTCGTTCTAATCACACATGCAGTTAGTGTTAGTTAGTAGACTTTTAGTATACACAAGCAAACATACGCACACATGCACAAACTCTTTCACGCACGCACATCGACATATGTATGTACCTGGTTGTCAGTTGACATAGCAAGTAGTTGGTCAATTGTTTGATCCACTGCACCCAAATTGGCCCGCAACACAGCTTCTATTACTTCACGGTCAATGTCCGGGAACATCTTTTTGAAGTCAGCCATAGCCTGTGAAAATTCCAGCTGCAACGTTGATGTAGCCATGATGATTTTCTTATTTTTAATTTTTCTTCCCCCCTCCCCCTTTTATTGCACCAGCTTAATAGCCGATAGTAGAGCTGTGTATACGATAACTACTCGTTACAGGTATTCGTCAATAAAAAGTAACTTTAGTTACAGTAAACAGACTGTATTAGCTAAGAAATGAAATTGCTTTTAAATCTGTTTAAAATTACATATAAAAATATAAAGGTTTCAAGATGTATTTGTGTACAACATAATACGCATACCGCAATACCTGTTCATTATGTGATTGCTTAATCCACTAACCATAATCACAATATTATCATCGTTATGACTTATCGATTTCGTTTAAAATACAACAGTGCTGAGTAATGTTGAACATATCGGCGCACTTAACGTTCAAATTCAATCAATCAGCACCCAAAGTTTGTACAATTTAAGTAAGTATTAATATTTAACTAAATATTGTAACTCGCGTTAATTACTGCAATAATTGTCAGCACAGAAGGAAGATCATAACTCTTGTGCTTTTCATTTTCTTGATGTTGATTGAACTGGTATTAAGTAGCACGTGTACTCCACTGTAGTTCCGGCGTGGACATGTCAATATCTATGTATGTCACCTTGCGATTATTCTTTTTAATAACTGTCAATCAGGCCGATATGGTTTGGCATATAATACTTGGTTTTAACGTTTTATGCGGAGCTTGTATTCTAAAAAAAAAGTCAGCTTATCATGGTTAATCTTAATTTGTGAAGCTGATGTAACAATAAAAATTAATTTTTATGGCATTCGATGCGTAGGTGGTATTATCAACATATGATACATGCAAAGTTCAGCAAGTGTGACACATGCTAGGCGCCTCTGATTAAAAAAGCAGAATTAAGCGACAAATTAATGCTGTGTCAGCTGAAATTATTTTTAATTAGTTAATAAACCAAGCTAAAGACCGATGTCTGGAGAAGATAAGACAGATTAACCAGATTCTTGAATTAATCTTCAGTTAAAATTCATATTTTTGATCTTTTGTAATATTTTAAAGATATTTCATCATATGTATTTTTAGAAAAAAAAATGGCTGACGATAGTATTTTGTCATCTGAATACTTTTTTTACGTCTGTAAATTTCCAGTTATTTTTTAGAGGGACACAAAAAGTTGTTCGGCCTGGTTTATGTCTTCATCTTGAAATAGTTTTCCGATATTTAAAGCTTCCGTCACTTAAAGATAGTCTGAGACACTGATCGAATTAGCTTTCGTAAATTTGTAATTGTATACGTTAACTGCTTTTTATTTTTGCAGGTGTAGTTTAAGGCATAACCGAAGTCGTAATCCAAGGCTTTGCGTTTGAATTAACAGTGCTCGACTAGTTAAAAGTATCTTGGATTAGTCTATGTTAACGAACCTTATGGGTGATATTTTTGAAGGTCGCGAATAGAAGACGTTTGGAAGCAATAAATATTGATTTTTTTTAAAATATAAGTTTATGATTTTCGACAATAGTTGGTCAAAAATAAAAAATTAAATTTATATACATCACAAATTTGTTCATATTATTTACATTTATTGGGACTTTTAATTAAAATTTCCGAAATACCTATATAAACTAATATGCATAATGTCTGTAGCTCACATTGTTTTAATGTTTGTCAGCTAAGCTATAAATCTCTGAATTATCGGGCGATTTGTCAAAAGCGTGGCATGGCATACAGTCAATCATGGAGGTTCGAGACAAAGATCGGGACCGAAAAGTTTAAGAAATCGGCCACCAGTGATCAGGGTGTAGTAGATGAGCAATTTGCATGGCCGACTTTAGTTTGCAATCAACCATTCTTATTTATTCATGCTCTGCTCAGTTGCTAAACTTGCAACTGAGCAACAATTTCAACCGACCGCCCACTTGGGCATTAGAAGCACTCGAATTTACCGCCCACTGCTTTGGTGTTCTGAAGTGCCGAAGTAGTCGGAATTTGCGTCGTTTTTACTCGTAACTGTATACCTCGGACATATTAGTGTTTGCGTGTGTGTACCATACCTGTTGATTTATCCTTTTTGTGTCTGCAACACTGGCTGTGCCTATATAAGCAAGTGCGTGCTACGGATTTGCGTTTATTGTGCACTGTCACACCCAACGCTTAACATTTGCGTAAAAAGTGTTATTTTAAAAACCAAAGTTCCATTCCTGTAATTGCGTTTGTCAATGGTAATACAAGCCTATTGAGGTATATAATTATATAAATAGATTTGATAATTTAAAGGTAAGTTCTAGTTTAAATATCTGACATATATATATATATATATATATAATAATATTTGAAACATTGCTTTATTAATATCACAGATTCCTTTGCAAATTTATATCCCATGGTATGCGTACCATTGTAAAACTTTAATTACCAATTTATCTAGAAATATATCCATATGCATGCCATACTTAGTGATAGATCACCATATTTGGCTTTAAAAATCTGCAAATCCGTTTTTTTTTTTTTTTTTTTTTTTTTTCAAAATATATGTATTGATTTCCAAAAATGAATATCCATACAAATGATGACAATATTTTTACCGTATAATATCAATAATCCATCTAAACTTTTCCATAATTGAGCAAGACTTGAGTCTTTCGTTTCCACACTGTGGTATATTAGCCGTATTAGCAGCGTTCTAGGGTTCGTTGCAATATGGATATGATACACTATCAATGAACCTATTCAGCAAAAAATAAAATAAAATAAAATAAACGGGTTGAACGTATTGATAATGAATACATTGGACCACTCACTCTCTTTATCTCTCTCCCTCTCTATCAATCTATCTCTCTTTCCCTCTTTCTCTCCTCTCTATCTTTCTCTCTAGCACATACACATAGTACAGATAGTCATTTGGGTCTTGGGTCATTTCATAACATTTTATAATGCCCATTGATAATATTTCGTGATTAGTATTTTGTTTTATTTATAAGCACACATAATATGTACAAACAATTTTCATTTATATAGTACAGTTTGTATTGTAATTGATTTATTTTAATTAATATTAATTTTGAATGAAATGTAAAGTGAATTGTGGATCTATAATACAATATTATCAGATAGAACTTCCTCATTGAACGTGATACAGATCATTGTGAAAAAATGAGGGCAAATAATAGCCGTTGCGGTGCTTTTTTTTTTACTAGCGATAACTTCTTAGCGTAAGGTTAGTTGTACTGATTCTCCCATCGCAAATACAGTTGAAGTTAATAAGGAGGGAGTGTCTTTAAAAGCAAAACTTTTGGTTTGATAACAATTAAATTTTGGGATCAAACCCGTCAATAACGTATTAATGTGTCCAGTTAAATAAGAAGCTTTAATATATTTCCTTCATTTGGCTTAAATGCCTTATCTACTCATATCTGGCAACGGTTAAACAGATAAAAATTTTTTAATAAGTAACGCAAACGGTGTCACCTGTCAAATAAATCGGACGACACACTGCTACTCCTCCTTAACCAACACCTCCCTCACCAAATCAATAGTTGACAGTAATGGGCTAAACGCGTATCCGATAGCAGATGAGATAATTAGTGGGCAAACCGAGTGTGAGAGTTCAATGGTATTTATATGCGTTTGACCTTGACTTCGATTTATGGTTTTAAAAATGCTGAGATGAAACTCAAAATTCTCGACAATCTTTATGTGTATATACAATATGAACGAATCTATTTACGTATATATAGAAATATTTGATAGGCGCTAAAAATTAGCCACGACATCGACGTATTATCAATATATTATCTGTAGTCATTAAGACTACGACTGCGATTCATACTTTGCGTTTCTCAAATCGCACTAGCGCATTACTCATGGAGTGCGTAAGGCAATTGGATCCCGGCGCAACGTAGCTGCGCATATATATATATATTTTCTGTTTTTATGAATATATATATATATATATATATATATATATATATATATATATTCATAAAAACAGAAAATGTTTTTGTGCTTTTGAGAAAGCTTTAATTGATATAAGCTTATAGTTCTTATGAGTAACTCTTAACAGTTTATATTCAGGATACTAATTTAGATGTCAGTTTTGACAATTTAAAGAAATGTTAGGAGTTTATCTTTAGCAAATTAATTTAGATGCCAATTTTAAAAATTTAAAGAAATAATAAATTCTTTAGGCATTTGACCAGTTGAACCTGTTCATGCGCATTTAGATTCACAGTTGAGCATAATTAGCCATTACCATTTCATCAACAGTAATTAGGGCATTCGCAGGCCGCGTCACGGTTTTGCGTAGCTTGCCATGTGATATGCTCTTGGGGCTGTGGGTGGTGTCATGCTGGTTTGATTAGGCTTCAAAGTACTTTTTATATATTTTAGCCGATTCGCAAAACGTAGCGAAAGTTTGTCAACGTGACTTGTGTTGTTTGAAATACCCAACACCTTGAGATGAAACCTGTGAAATGCGAAGAAGAACGTGCTACTAGAAATTTTTCTTAAAAGCACAAAAAAGAACATAAAACAGTATTATGCATATTTTAACATTGGCAACTTTGTTTGTTTCAATGGAAGTTGTAATATGAAACCTTTTACGTAAACGGTTGGCCTCGTGTAGGTGTTGCGGTAGGAACTCGACTTGTTTTTAATTGTCAGCTAGTTGAAAACAAACTCGTACACCTGCCTATGTACATATATTTTTCCTCTTTCTAAGCCCTCTCTCTTTCGATTTCTCTCAACTTTAGTTGGGTCTGGAGCAGCAACAATAACCCGAGCAATAACGTGATGACAACGTACAGCTGCTCTTTCGCCCATCAGATGGCTATTGCCATTGTTCTGCTGTCAATTGTATCGCACTTGTCGCCTGGACACGCACAGCAAAGCCTGACTATAGACGAGCAACAGCAACCTGCAATGCAAATGCTCTTCAACGAGTTCCTCGGCTCCGTACCGGCTGATGGCAAAACCAACTATTATGGTCAGCAGTTAGTAAGTATGCTACATATGCAGAAAATTAATACAAAGTGTATATATGTACAATTACAATAAATTCTGACTATGTATGAAGAGTTTATATATATATATATATATATATATTTTTTTTTTTTTTTTTTTTTTTTTTTTTTTAGGTGTAGGCAACAGGCTGAAGCAAATTTCCCAGATAATAAATGTAGAATTATATTGATGAACTTTAAAAATATTACAGACGATAATGCAGTTTTACTAATTTAAAGAAGTTGATGGAAGGCTTTGGAGAATTTGAATTAAGAGTATGAAATATATAAATAAAATCAGTATTTTTTTTTATATTTTAAATATTTAATACTTACTATTACTATTACTATTACTAAAGAAAATTAGCTACAATTCTATATCTATAAAAAGTTTATTATTTATTCAATTAAAATTCTTGCTCTTCCAGAAGTACCAACAGCTGAAGCATCAGCTGCGACAGCAGCATTTGCGGCCAAAACAATTGCCAATCGTTTACTTTACTAACCACCAATGGCCCTTTCTGCGCGATCTAGTCATGAACTCCGATTACGATTTATTGGGGCACCTCGAGAGCTCTGAGCGAGAGCGTGATCCGCAAGAATCTCAGCTCCTGACACGCCTTCACAGACTGGCCGACAATGCTCTTGATGGCGATGATCAGCTGTTCAAACTGAGCTCCGGCGCTAAGCAGCACAATAACAAGAGAAATGCGCAGTGTGAGTAGAATTTATTATATTTATATTTCAATTGTTTTTGTTTGAATTTAAACAAAGATAGGCAAGATATTAATACACAGGTAGGTGCCTTAAACTCTGAATAAACTTAGGTTTAGTATCTAAAGTTGATTGGATATTTCATTGCAAATTGTATAAAAATACGAGGCTAGAATCGTATATGCTTATGAAGCTAACCAACTGGAATATAAGCTAATAATAATAATGGTGGTGCATGATAAATCTGTTAATTTAAAATTTATTTTATATTGTATTTCTGATATTTACATTTCCCATATTTAAAAATAGTTCGTAAACAATGTAAGTGTTGCATGAAATTTAAAAAATGTCTAATTTAATCTTTACTGATACTTTTTCTGTTTCTATAGATATGAGGCCATGTCATTTCAAGATCTGCAATATGGGACGCTAGCGCAATACCGCCTCTACATTACCCATCCGAACCGATTCACCGAAACATCTCAAAGTTAAAAGCAGTTAAAGCCGGAAAAATGCTAATATTGCAGAAAAAATAAAACAAAAACATGAGAATTTATATTATATACACAAAAGTATTTAATGTTAGCTTTACTTATCATATATCTACATACATATACATAATATTATTCATTGTTCCACTAGTATTTCCTTCTTAAATTGCGTTCTAACAAATATTATTCATTAAATACTTAGTGTTAATTTTGCAGCATATTTATTTACATATATACATGTATATTAAAAAAGAATTAATAAAGAACTATAACTAGAATAATTTGTTTCTGTTTCCTTTATTAAGACAGAAAGAGATGAATGTACCTTCTACGGTCAGGACGATCATCAACTATTGCTATTGAGCAATACACTAGAAAAACATCAATGTACCATCAAATAATGCAAATAGTAATTTGAAACAAGTAAGAAGGCTCCAGTCGAGACTGCTCGACTAGGATATACCCTGAACCCTCTAAGCTGATATTCTAATCATTCTGGACTTCTTTTATGCACACATACATACACATGCACTTATAAGCACGCGCTCTGCTAACTGCGCAGTAAGCAGCGGCTGCGCTTGGGCTGCGCTCCAGTGTGGGCAATATTACGAGAATTTATTTGTGGAATAATTTCTTTTGTAGACATACGATCTTAATAAAACTTTCAGAGCGTAAGTATATGGCTAAAATGTGTGTACATTCCAAAGCACAAGTCTCTAGTACTTGCGTTTTTTACAAATTGGGGGCGAATGGGGCGTGGTATCCAAAATCTGTAAATTACAAAATCTTTGTATCCATTAACTTTATATACGAGTACATCGCAAATTGGAAAAAAGTGTTCAAATTAGGCTGAAAAATCAATGTCGATTTTTCGACTACTCTCGATAAAAAAGCTATCGGATGAGTTATCGAAAAAATATGAAATCAAGTACTAGAGACTTGTGCTTTGGAATGTACAGACATTTTAACCACATGATTATGTTTTAAAAGTTTTATTAAGATTGTATGTCTACATAAGAAATTATTCAACAAATAAATTCTGAAAATTATTAAATAGTATTAATAGTAAATCGCATTAGCTCTGTTGCTTTAGCTTTTCTTTTTGCTTTTGCTTGTGGCAGCAGCTGCTGCTGTTGTAGCTATAGCTGTTGTTGTTGCTACTGTTTATGCTGCTTTACCAGTTTTTTTGCCTTGAGTGGGAATTGCAATAACTGTTGCTGCTGCTGCTGCTACTGCTTGGGTGGCTGCTGCTTGGACGGCTGCTTGACCGCTTTGGCGTTGATAAGCTGCCGTTTAATAGTCATAGCAGTAATGAGAGTATTGTCACTCTTATTGCGTGCCAATTCGACCATCATTTTGGTGGCCAACTCATAAGCCGTAGCTGTAGTTGCTTTCAGCCTGCAAGCATCTTTGAAAGATTTACAACCACGATAACTGGCAGTTGGAACACTTTGGTGGCGGCTGGATACTATCGCCTTCCCTTCCCTCACATTCAGTGGATGAATGACTGCCACTGAATTTTACGCACACAAACAGACGGCGGCAATAATTCTTGGTGTCGCCGAATTTCTGGCAATGGTGACACTGAACAGCATCAGCGTTGCGCAGAATCTTCTCAACATTGATTCTTTGGCCACCCAAGCAAGTGATGCCCAACACATACGAGCAAGTCGGCTCCGCCACAATCTCTATCGCTAGCTTCATTAGTGCCCTGTATACGCCATGGCAAGCCGTTGGCTTCGTGTAATAGCTATTCTCGGCAGTCACATTATTAATGCCCAGCAGCACGAGCATTACTTCTGGCACATTGGGCAGATACAATGGAGTAGGTCTCTGATTTGATTGGAATTAGCGCCGTCTGTTGGCGAATGATCAGCACAGACAGCAGCACTGGCTTTAGCAGCTCTACTGCCACGTTATTAACAGCAACATCAGCTGTAGTGGCCTTACACGCAGCCCCAATAGCAGCTGCCCGCATCGAAGCTTTTGGTGTGCCATTATCGATAGCCGAGACATCAACCATCAGCCTGTTTTTGACAAATAGTACCAAAAGCTTCTGATTAAAAACTATTGAAAAAAAAAAACAAATAGACAGTAAAATTTTGGTCTTGTTTTAATTTTTTATTATTAAAAAGAAAACCCCCAAGCTAAATAAATTAATTTAATTGTTAATTTATCCTAATTCAATTTATTATATTTTTCCTTTTTCGTTTATTTGCTCATTGAGACAATATTGATTTGCTAATTTTTTCTCTATTCAGTGGACAAATTTCCGTGCGTCGTTCTTTGAGTAATTTTCTGTCTCAGAAATTTCCGTCAGCTAACTTCTAGTTATCAAAAATGGGCAGATACAATGGAGTCGTCCACTCATTTGATTGGAATTGGCGCCATCTGTTGGTGGGTGACCAGCACAAACAGCAGCACTGGCGTTAGCAGCTCTACTGCCACTGTTATTAACAGCGCCTTACGCGCAGCCGCAATAGCAGCTGCCCTCATCGAAGTTGTTGGCGTGTCATTATCGATAGCCGAGACATCAACCATCAACTTGTTTGATAAAAGCTTATGATTGGCTGATGCGCCAGTAGCAGCCATTTTGTTCGTCTTGTAGCCGCTGTTGTAGCCTGCCAAGTACCTTTGTGATGTACTAGAGACTTGTGCTTTGGAATGTACAGACATTTTAACCATATTATTACGTTTTAAAAGTTTCATTAAGATTGTATGTCTACAAAAGAAATTATTCAACAAATAAATTCTCATAATATTGCCACATTGCAGCGCAGCCCAAGCGCAGCCGCTGCTGGTCTTGTTTTAATTTTTTATTATTAATAAGAAAACCCCCAAGCTAAATAAATTAATTCTATTGTTAATTTATCCTAATTCAATTTATTATATTTTTCCTTTTTCGTTTATTTGCCCATTGAGACAATATTGATTTGCTAATTTTTTCTCTATTCAGTGGACAAATTTCCGTGCGTCGTTCTTTGAGTAATTTTCTGTCTCAGAAATTTCCGTCAGCTAACTTCTAGTTATCAAAAATGGGCAGATACAATGGAGTCGTCCACTCATTTGATTGGAATTGGCGCCATCTGTTGGCGTGTGACCAGCACAAACAGCAGCACTGGCGTTAGCAGCTCTACTGCCACTGTTATTAACAGCGCCTTACGCGCAGCCGCAATAACAGCTGCCCTCATCGAAGTTGTTGGCGTGTCATTATCGATAGCCGAGACATCAACCATCAACTTGTTTGATAAAAGCTTATGATTGGCTGATGCGCCAGTAGCAGCCATTTTGTTCGTCTTGTAGCCGCTGTTGTAGCCTGCCAAGTACCTTTGTGATGTACTAGAGACTTGTGCTTTGGAATGTACAGACATTTTAACCATATTATTACGTTTTAAAAGTTTCATTAAGATTGTATGTCTACAAAAGAAATTATTCAACAAATAAATTCTCATAATATTGCCACATTGCAGCGCAGCCCAAGCGCAGCCGCTGCTGGTCTTGTTTTAATTTTTATACCCTGAACCCATTTTCAATGGGAAATCAGGGTATAATGGTTTTGTTGAAATGTATGTAACAGGGAGAAGGAGGCGTGGCAGACCCCACAAAGTATATATATTCTTGATCAGGGTGACGAGCTGAGTTGATTTGGCCCTGTCCGTCTGTCTGTCCGTCTGTCCGTCCGTCCGTCTGTCCGTCTGTCCGTATGTATGAACGCGTCGATTTCAGAAGATATAAGAGCTAGAGACTTTTTCTGTTCGTATGTTACAAGAGAACACACATTGATGATCACCGCTTCTTCGCATCTCATACATGATCAGCTGACCAGCAGCTGCATGGCGAGGGGAAGATAGTACGGAGATACTTTTTATTCAATTAATACTTCACAATAGCATTTCTTATGAATATAAATAGCGCCTATGAGATAATTAAAATCTAAAAAAGGACTATATTTATCGAAACTTATCATTAAATGATTAAATTTAAATGGCCATAAGTGCACAAAAATAACAGTGCAGCTTAATTTTACAAAATACTTATAATAGAGCAATTTAAAGATAATAGAAATTAACAATAAAGTGCTTGGGTAACTGATTAACGACTAAATAGATAAGTAAGGTTTAAGTTTAACAATAGTAATAGATAGCATTAATTAATATAATTCAATTATTTCATTAATAAGCATCTACAAGATGCACAGAGAAAAGTAGCCCAAAGTGGCCAATTGGAATAAAAGAGAAAAGTCGAGACAAAGTCTGGTCATTTTCTCAAGTATGGGCTTGAGCTAAAATTAGCTTAAATTACAAAAAGTTAAGACAGCTGATTGGAAATTGCATTAAATGCAAATTTTATGACTGATCCCTATGTGATCTAAATAGGACCCTATAGGCAGCAAGTGGTGATGGTGGTGGTAGTGGCAGCGGCATTGGCGCAATACCCTCGAAGACAGGTAGTCGTTGCGGCTGTTGGGCTGCTGCTTGTGCAGCTTCGTTGTGTTGCTGAGCCTCCCGTCGGCGAAGGAATCGCTCCCTACTTTCAGCTATTTCATCGGCCTCCCGTTGTAGTAGTCGCTGGGTGCGTAGAGCAATGTCATTGGCCAAATGCGTGTTTACGAGACTCGTGTATCTTGCCAATGTTATCCGCTGTGGGATGAACGGGTCATAGGCAATGTTTTTGGCCAAGTTGTTGGTATGGACCCGGAGTCGATCATAGTATTTGGCGCAGAGATTGTTGAATATATCATCCGCAGACAGGACTTGCAACTCAGCTCTGATGCGCGCGTTCGAAACAAAGTACTGAGCACCAGAAATGGCTCTCAGAGCTTTGTTGTGTACGACTCGTATGCGGCTGAATTGCGCCTCAGATATCAGAGCTCCCCATACAGGCAGCGAGTATTGCCAAAGTGGAGCAACTAGCTGTTTGTAAATAATGACTTTTGTTCTCAGCGTCAATTTGCTATCTTTGTTAATGAGCCAATCTATCTTTTTAAGCCTAGCCCTGACCCTAGTAACGACCGTAGTGACATGTTGTGAGAAGCGCAGTTTCGTATCTAGAGTAACACCCAAATATGAATGAGAAGTGCCATTTTCAATGGTTTCGTTGCCAATGCGAATAGCCTGATATGGCGCTATAACTCTAAGCGTATGCATGATATGCATAGTCTTGTTTGCATTAATTGTAATGCACCACTTGCTCGCCCATTCAGCCAAACTATCCATATACGCCTGCTGCTGACTGAGCGCGACTG